GCCACACTTCGAGAGACTGCCACACTTCGAGAGACTGCCACACTTCGAGAGATGCTTTTAGAACAACAAACGTATGAGGGGTCAGTTATTGTCGCAGATGCGCGAAGAGTCAGTGTCGGCCAAGCTACGAGCCTACCTATAGAGATTAGAGGTAGGCTCTCCGACATGGAATGAAGACACTTTTATTAATGCAAGAGATGCGCGCGGTGCGACTTCACTACCAAAGCCTCCTAGTAATCGACAGGAAACATGAGACATGAGACTGGGGTTCGCATCTTCCCTCCACGCCTCTCCTCCCACTTGAACGTGTGAGGTCTATCTCCGCCTGATTCGAAGTGGCTATGTCCGACAACCGCTCGCCCACTTCCTGGTTTGAAGCTGCCATAGGAGATACGGTACGTCATATTCCACCTTATGTCGAGAACCGATCATCCGATGATCGGCCACTTTCTCGAAAATCAGTGGTCCTGTACGGACGTACAAGCCGAGGTTGGACCTTGAATGGAGGAAAGATGGTAATGGAGACAACAACGGCGACGAAATCTTCAGGAAACGAGGACACAAGAGAAGGAACGATGCAGCAATTCTTGCTGCGAGGTGTGATTTCGACGGCTGGCAACTCAGCTGGAGCTGTCTGTGACTGCTCAAGTCAATAGTCACGACTCCCACAATGCTCTACAATCGTCGGCCGAGCAAGCTGTGAAGTCTCGATCGGAATCACTGTCACGTCCCCTGGCGGCGTGTAGCCTCTGCGCCAGATTACCCTCCGTTCTTCGTGGATTCTACGAGACTCCACTTCGTCGTCCTGGCCCGTCATCTCCACTGTCGTCAGCTACAGGCCTAGTGGACAGAAGGATCGGCCGGGACCTCGACGTAAGACTGGCGTTACCGAGCGGCTGGAACGACCGTCCTGGCCACGGCCGTCAAGCTCGAGGTCCCCTGCGCTGATGCCGTTGCTTCTCCGGCGTTGATCTGCACGGTGGCGAGTTGATCGGTCAGATCTTCGATGCAGCCATCGTCGAGACGACACAAATGAACAAGTTGAGGCGAACGGACGAGCTCCAGTTCTCGGCTCGCCGACACGTCTCGATACCTGCTGCATGAGGCGCATCAGTGACGAACACGTCGCCATTTGCGTGTTAGCCTACCGTGACGGCGTAAGACGTGGTCCAACTGCCATGTGCCGACCCTTGCCGTTGAACGTGTCGGTTTTGGACAGCCGAATACGTCCATCAACAATTCCCTGGAGCTGGGCGGCCACACCGGCTTGTAACCTCTCGCCATATGCCGCGAGAAGGCGAGGCATGAGCGTTACGTCTTGCTCACAGTATTCGAGGATCTCGTCCCGCAGGGGTCTTTCGAGGAAGACCTCATACCTCCCCCCTACCTCGGGCGCAAACAGACGCCGCCCCTTGTCTTTGACGAGGGACCAGGCTGGATTGTGGGGCAGGTCCTTTTCAATACACTTGGCCAGCCCGTTGACGAACCTGCCTCTCGGATTCCTGGTGGCATACTCGACGACCTGGAGATCGATGATGCCGGCGACGTTGACGCCAAAGTGGGCATGGAGGGCGCCCGAGTCGTTGCGAATGTCGAAGAAGACTTTGAAGATGTCTGGAGATTCCAGCGCAGTTTGGAGACTGGTCCCGTCCGCCGTGGTGAGGCCGAATGCTTTCGCTCCGAGCCGGTGGACATCGACCAGGTAGACGACGGGGCTGGGTGGCATCAGCAACTGCATGATGGCAATCGTGCCTGTGCGACCGAGATTGACACCCTCCAGGTCGACGAACATCAGCTGGTCCTGACCCGCGCCCGTTCGCTTTGTGATGAGAGCGAGCAGCGCGTGAAGTTTGGGTTCGTCGTCGACGACGAACGGTGCCATGGTGGAAGACCTCGACCGCGGGCAAGCGAGTTATTTCTCCGGACGACTTCCATCGTTCGAGGTCCGGTTGTACTTTATACAAACCCTGCGCTGCTGCCCGCCCGCCCTCCGAGTGATCTGACCTCCACACGACGCCGTCATAGGATGTTCCCCTGTCCTTCCTTGGGCTTTCATTTCATACTTGCACGTTCATAGGTGAATCGGTGATGCGTCTCAACTAGTGTGGACCGCCAAAGAATGCTCATTGGTGCTGACATCTTCCTACCACCTCCTTCCCTCATTGGTCGGGTGATGAACGGTCAAGACACCTACAGCTAGTTTTATAGTGCACCAATAAGTCTCGACCGAGTGAACAAATCTGTCTGGTACGATACAACACAGTAGACGGCATAGTACGTATAAGACTGCAGCGCACTACGATTCTTGGTGCCATCGAGTTCTGCTCCTCTTCGTCGCCTCTTTAACCCCCCTCGGATGTGGCCATCCAGTGTTTGTTCGCTCTTTGCTTTTTGCTTGGGAGGATCATTATGCGACATCTCCTGAGACTAATACCCCGCAGGCCATACAGCGTCCATCGCCAGCTCCTAGGATCACATTTCGCGGTCTTTGTGTCCAAGACTGTATCCGGGACGTGGAGCGTAATCCTGGATCGTTTTGGTCCGAGAGATGCTATTCGTCCACACCTGCGCATACCTGTCGGGCAAGCCGAGTTCTTCGCGATTGGCTCGAAGGTGGGTGTCTGTACAGGGCTCAGTCTCCGGAGCTCTCGACATCAGCCAATGGATTCAGTGCCGGGCATAGACCCACTTAGTCGTAAATATCACAAAGTGCCGCCAGCGTTCGCGCATCGTCCACCTTCTTTTCTCCTTCAAATGGAATGTGAGAGCTTCGACCCGGTGATTCCCGGCTACTATTTCGGTGACTATTTCGGTGACTATTTCGGCGACTATTTCGATGGTACAGCATGATCATTCACGCGTTCCCCAGTCCAGGAAAGATGGCAAAGCACTGAGAGACCTCTCCTTCCAATCCGTCCCAGTGCAACCTGATGCCCCAATGACGCGATCATACGCTACACCTTCTCGCGAAGACAGGCGACGGCGAAGGGAATTGCTGGTATGAGTACAGTCCAACCCTTCCC